GGCTGTTGACACACAGCGCAGCAGCAGCAGCAAGCAGCAGAATTAGGTTACTGACACCACCGCGCCAGCAGCTGTCGCTCTATCTGCGGCCTTGGCCCAGGAAGTCTGGGTAGAAGGCTCAGTGGTTTATTGTTTGCGGCGCCGGTGTTATGTATGGTCAATGTTTGTCTTTGTTGTTGTGTTGCCGGCTGCAGGCATAGGCTTAATGTTTGTCTTTGTTGTTGTGTTGCCGCTGCAGCATAGCTTAATGTTTGTCTTTGTTGTTGTGTTGCCGCTGCAGCATAGCTTAATGTTTGTCTTTTGTTGTTGTGTTGCCGCTGCAGCATAGTCTAATGTTTGTCTTTGTTGTTGTGTTGCCGCTGCAGCATAGCTTAATGAATCGCCGAATTATTAATATTTACTTAGACCTTTCCTTAAAACATTGAAATTATATCAATTTAGAAAACAATATTCATTAATTTGATTATTATACATGTACACACCACACACCACACACAACACACGCACACACACACACACACACAACACACACACAACACACACACACACACACCCACACACACACAACACAGAACAGCACACAACCCCCCACACACACAGCCACACACACACACACACAGCGACACCACACACACCATCACATCATCACACAACACACACATGAGGCACACAGCACACACACCACCCATACACAAAGCATTACAACACACACGCACACAGCACACACAACGACACACCACACCGGGTAGCACACACAGACACATATATGTATTATATAATAATATATAGTATATCTATATATATAAGTGAGATGTATGCGCGGTACACACAGGTGGCTAACAGTAGTGACAGCGAGGGACAACCTACGCATGCACGGCTGACCACCGGAAGCTGCCATTCTCACACGGAGAGCAGAAGTACTCGGTGGTCTGTACGGTCACCTTGACCACGGCAGCCGACATACAACGTCCGAGTACTGGCGCTACGGCAGCGGAAGCAACAAGGTCGACCTAGGGACTCGTGTTCGGGTTACGAGGAGAGAGAGTCATCTGGCCACCGTCAGGTATAGCAGGCCGATGAAGCGAGCCACCTAAGACGAGCGGGGGAGGAGGATGGGGACGGGGCGGAGAGCGGCGGAGGGGCGGGTCGGGGCGGGTACGAGGGGGCAGGCGCGAGACGGCGGAGA